AGGATTGTAGGAATTTGACTTCAAAAGCAATGGAAGTAAAAGCTAAAAGAAATGAATGGGACTACATCAAACTAAAAAGCGTCTACTCAGCAAAAGAAATCATCAACAAGGTAAAGAGAGCCATCCGAACTGGAAAATATATTTGCAAGCAACACCGCTGATAAGGGCCTAATATCCAAAATCTATAAAGAAGTCATATGACTCAATAACAACAACAAAAAAAATGATCCAATCAAAAAAATGGGCAAAGGACCTGAACAGGCACTTCTCCCTAGATGATGTACAAATGACCAACGAATATTTGAAAAGATGTTCAACATCGCTAGCTATTAGGGAAATGCAAATCAAAACCACAATGAGATACCATCTCATACCTGTTCGAATAGCTATAATCAACAGAACAAGTAATAACAAATGTTGGAGAGGATGTGAAGAAAAAGGAATCCTCATACACTGCTGGTGGGACTGTAAATTGGTACAGCCACTATAGAAAACAGTTCCCCAAAAAACTAAGAGGAGGTTTTGAGGAGGTTCCTCAAAAAACTAAGAATTGATCTACCATATGATCCAGCAATCCCTCTACTGGGTGTTTACCCCAAAGACTTGAAACCCCATATCCAAAAAGATATTTGCACACCGATGTTCATAGCAGCATTATTCACAGTGCCCAGGACATGGAAGCAACCAAAGTTTCCTACGATTGTGGTACATATGTACAATGGAATATTACTCAGCCATAAGAAGAGATGAAATACTGCCATTTGTAAATACATGGATGGAACTTGAGATAAACATGCTAAGCGAAATAAGCCAGACAGAAAAAGTTGAAAATCACATGATATCACTGATATGTGGGATATAATCCTAAAAGCAACAAATGTACAGGACAAGCAAACAGAGACTCATGGACATAGACTATAGAGTAGTGGTTACCAGAGGGTAGGGGGTGAGGGAGGAGTGGGGAGGTAGACCATTAAAGGGGGTTAAATATAGGAGGGTAGGGGGAGATTGAAGTGGGTTAAGGGGATCAAATATATGGTAGCTGAAGAAAACTGGACTTTGTGTGGTAAACACACAATAGGATATACAGATGTCAAATTATAATGTACACCTGAAAATTATATAATTGTTTTAACCAATGTTACCTTAATAAACTTTATTTTAAAAAAATTAAAAAATAAAGACATTGAGTGGCCAAGTGAATTAGAAGACCTTACATATGTTGCCAACAAGATACTCAATTCAGATCGAAAGTTACATACAGACTGAAAGTAAAGGGATGAAAAAAAATATTACATAAAAATGGAAATTAAAAAAAAAAAAGCTGAGGTAGCATTACTTATACCAGAAAAATGACTTTAAAACAATGGCTATAACAAGAAAGAAAAACCCAGTAATTCCATTTACGGGTATTTATCCAAAGAAACCTAAAACATTAATTTGAAAAGATATGCATCCATATATTCATTGTAGCATTATTCGCAATAGCCAAGATATGGAAGCAACCTGAGTTTCCATCAATAGATGAATGGACAAAGAAGAAGTGATACACATATACAATGGAATATTATTCAGCCATAAAAAAGAATAAAATATTTCCATCTGCAACAACATGGATGGACCTGTTATTATGAGAAGTGCAATAAGTCAGACAGAGAAAAACAAACACCATACTGTTTCACTTATATGCAGGTTCTAAAAAATAAAATAAAAAACAGAAACAAACTCATAGATATAGAAAAGATTTTGATGGTTACCAGATGGGAGGGTATTGAGGAGATGGGTGAAAAAGAGGAAGAGATTAATAAGTACAAATTGGTAGTTACAAAATAGTCAAGGGGATGTAAAGTATAGCATAGGAAATATAGTTAATAATATTGTAATAAGTATGTGTGGTGTCAGATCGGTTCTAGATTTATTGAGGCGATCACTTTGTAAGTTATATAAATGTCTAACTGTCGTACACCTGAAACAACCATAATATTGTATGAATAGTCAACCATAATTGAAAAATTCAAAAAGTGTTTAGAAAAGAATACATTAATACTTTTAATACAACATATTTAAAGACAATTATAACTTATGGATACAACATTGGTACTTGGTGTAATGCTGCTCTACTTCTCGACTCAGTAATATGGTATAAGTATTTAGTTATTTATTATATAGCAACAAAATTGACAATTCCTTACCCTATTTCCATGCTGCCACCATGGAGATTTAGCAATTTACCTAAGATGTGTGCCTGCCTTAAACCACTATAGTACTTTGAAGTTGATATAAGGTAATTTTAATTTTCTTAGCAGCTTGCCTATTATTTGAATTTACTAGTTCTCTTTCCAAAGATCTTCTCTTTTGATACTAGAATAAGCAGCTGAGAACAGAAATGTGCAATACTTGCTGAGCAAAGGAGACTAACCACAATGCCTTCTGAATATATTTTGCTTTCTGATAAAATCGTGTTGAAAGTATATTAAAACAAAACAAAACAAAACAAAAAACTAACTCCTCCCAGAGTTCACTGGTCAAGTGCCTTGATTGCACTTGCAAAATTAACTATTAATATTATCTTATAGTGTGGCTATGACACTCTAGGTAATTGCTCTTGAGTATATGGCACCTTTGTAGACATTACAATAGAATTCTAAATTGGATCCAAATTACTGCCTAGTTTTAAAAGTATGTGAAGATGAACTACAAGTACCCACATAGTACTTATTATTTCAAATAATCCGTACTTGAATTCATCAAGAACTTTTCCAAAACAAAAATAATCTTTTCGGAAATCTAGCAACTAGAATCATATCAGTTTGCCAATTCACAAAACAAACAATATTTGCTGAGGTCCAAGATTGTTCTGCAGTGATACCAGAATTATATTGTGCTTTACACGATACCCAAGGGAACCTCAAAGCAAGAAAACTGCCAAAGCAAAGCATTTTACCAAAAAAAACTATTTTACCAAAGGAAGAGAGTCAAATAAAAGAAGGAACCCATCCTTTTTTTGTTTGTGCACATAAGTACCTTACGATCAAAATTACCAGTTAATTTTAAATTCATTCCACTTTTGAAAGAGGTCAACTATAATTTTTTCAACCATTTTCTTTTAACAAAACAATTTTACTCCTCAAAGATAATATTGCTAATTTTCAAAAAGTGCCTTACAACTTTAGATCCTCATCTAGTTACTCTGTCCAAAATATCACTTCGGGTCCCTCATGCCAATGTTTTTTAGAAGCAACTATCCTCAACTCCAGCTACTCCAGGAAGATAGATTATAACACATCCTCGCTTTTATTAGGAACATTTTAGGTTTCATCATATTTATTTTAAAAGAGGCATGTCATTCTGGGTGAAGAGTAGTTAGTTCGTAAAATCTGTTTCCCTTGTTATCAATCAGCCACTCTATTTGTCCACTTCAAGACTGATGCCACTTTAGAAGTCAAATGGAGAGTTTGCTAGTATGTTTTTATTATTATCATTATTATTATCATTATTGTTATTATTGTTATTATTATTATTTAAAATAAGTACTGTCTTCCTAAATCTTTTATGTCAGGAGTCAGAAGTCAGACACACGACTTTCAGAAGCTCTCAACACGGGAGAAGTAAGAAAACTAAAGGGGCCACACTAGTCGCCTGTTCAAGCCTTGAGGCATGGAACGACAGCTGCCTGAAAATCCACTCTTGAGAAGCCTGTGGGCAGGCTCTTGAGAACAAGAACAGGAGAAAAGGGCGAACTCGGCACTGAGAAAGTCTTTCCCCAAATTAGGTATCAAGCTACATGATTGTACGTAGAATTATCAGCATTTATGGCATCTAAGAAGCAGAGCCAGGCCTTAAGCACCGACACCGCATTCCTGGACGCCGGGGCCGAGACCAGAGAGTGGTGGTTTTGAGAAGGAAAACTATCTCAAAGGAAATAGGGAGCCGCGAACAGAGCAGATGTAGAAGAGGCATCAGAAGCTTCTGCAGGAGAAAGCAACGCTTTGGTCGCCTCCCGGGAGCCCCGGAGGCAGGAAACGTGCCCCAGCACCGGGCTAGTGCGGTGCCACTACTCACCCCTACTCTCCTACGGTCCCCGTCGTCACCCTGCTGGACTCAGCCCCTGCAGGGGGAGCCCCTCCCCCGCCCGCTGCCAGGGTTGGGCTCAGCGGGCGAGAGGAGGCGGCAGCGCAGGTGTCCGTGAGCGGGGGCCAGAGACGCGCCCCAGGAGCAGCTGGGTGCAAGGGAAGCAACCTGGTGCCTTGCGCTCCCTGGCGCTGCCAACTTCACCACCATTGACGTAGAGGGGCGAGGGGAGGCAATGGAGGGAAGGCCGTCGCCTAGCAGCCAGGACCCTCCCGAAGTACTAGGCCCGAGCTTGGGCGGGACTGTCGCCCCCGGTCCACTCAGCGACGCGACCCCCAGGCCTGATTCCCGTCCCTCAGCCCCTGCGGCCACAGAGCAGCAGCGGCTCCCTCTCGGGCGGTGGTGGCAGCTGCATCCTCGTGCTCCTCCTCCTCTGGCGCCGCTGCCTACACACAGCCCCGGCGGTGTTACAGCCGCGGCGCCCTGACTGCTGTCTCCTAGCAACCGCGCGCATGCGCCCCACCCCCGCCAGAGACCGCCGCCAGTGCTGGCGACACTGTCCGGACTCAATCCACCTATGAAAGGGCTCAAAAGCCTCCTTCTTAGGGCCTGGATGAAACATCGTCAAGGTAGGGGTGAGGTGGGAAGAGGCCGGGGGACTTGAATATGACCGTCTCCTGGCCCCTCGACAGTCACCTTGGTGGTAAAGAGTGACAGTTCCAACAACCTCCTAACATATTCTTTAGTCTCTCCTTCTCCACTCCAATCCATCGTTCACACGGGCTTCAGGAGGAATGTTCTAAATAATTTCTCTGATCATGTCACTCATCTGCATAAGTCCTATGGTTAAGGGAAAGCCTCCCTAATAAGGGCCTAATAGTTCTTGACTACTGCAACAGCATCCTCTCTGGTCTCCCTGCCTTTAGACTTGTCTCCCTTCAATCTGTTCTCGTATTTCTACCAGAGAGATCTTTGTGAAACATAAATCTCCTACTCTTACTTTCCTCCTTTTTACAGAATGGGCTTTTGAGTTAGAGCCAATTTTGAATTTCTGTCCCACCACTGAGTAGCTATGTTTTCTTCAGCTAAGATGCTTAACCTCTATGAATCTGCTTCATCTGTAAAATGGGAATAATTTTAGTACTTATAGAATAGATATAAGGATTAAATTAGAGCATGCACTTAACATATATAACTTACTCTGGCACAGATTAAGCACTCAGTAAAAATTACAGCTATTTTTCAGTAGATCTTATTGCCTATAATAAAGGATAAAGTACAAACTCTCTAACTTAGCAGTCGAGGTCCTGTCATCTAAGATATTGCCTCTATTTTTCTAGCCCTATCTCCATTCCACTGCTCCTGCAGCATCTAGTCACAGACCAGTCCTTGCAGTTTTTGAAATACATCTTTATCTATAAAGTGCTTACACATATTTCCCTAAGGTTCATCTGAGGAAGAAATCTATGCAAACTCTCCGATTAATTAACATATAAGCATCCATGATCATTCTCAACCTATACATGTTAATTTTAAAATATTGACACAGAAATGACATGTAGGTAGTGACTGTTTACAAAAATTGTGTGGTTTTCTGGGGGCTTATTTACTTGATCGTTTTGAAATTAGGCTTAGAGTTTTTGTAATGTGTAACGATAAAAATATGTTCAGCAATTTTGAACTTAATGCAATGAATAAATACATTTATAAACATCATATGCTTTGCTAGATGTTTATTTAATAAAAGGTTTTAACATTTTAGAAAGTATAAAAGTAGCTGTACCATGTGTAAGATGTCTCAGAGGCCCAGAAAGAACTGCTAATGAAAATTTAGTGGAGGGCTCAAATGGAATATAAGACTAAAATGAAAGTTTATGAGGACTAGACAACCAGAAAATATTGAAGAAAGAGAATAATAATTGGAAAGATGAAAAAGAGCAAATCAAAGACCAATTAAATAGAAGCACCAGATGGAAATAATCAACAAACTGTAATTGACAGGAAAGATCATAACATAGAGAATATGTATTATAACTGTGAATGTGGCAGTGAGCTTGAATAGAGTTCTCCCACAGATCATATTTTTTCTTCTATATGATACAGACATGCCTTTTGGGTTCAAAGGAAGACAATTCCATAATGTTCAATCTTTTTCAAGGACCATCAAGGGCTCACAGGGACAGATCTCTAACAGAATTTGCTTAGATCTTCAAAATCTGTACTTAGTTATATAAAATCTGTACTCTGTACACTTATTGAACTCATTACATTCTATAGCACATATTTATTATGATTACAGTGAAACAGAGGAATAAATATTTAAATTTTGTTAGTCATCTTTAATTTTTCCATATTCCTTTCTAGATATAGAAATGTGTCACTGCTTCACTTTAACTCCTTCAGTATTTTTCCTGGAGTCTCAATATAAAATCTGAGCTCCTTTACACACATCAGCCTATCTGTCTCTTCTATGTTGGTGAAGTAAAAACTCCTGTCAGCAAAGAGAGACCTATCCACATCGGTATGTAAAGAAAATATTTATTATTGAGTAAGCACAACACAGTATATGTACATAGGTAGCCTTCAAGAGACTGCAGAGTGAGGATAAAATTCCACACAACTTATACAGTAAAGCAAATACAAAGTTCACTTGTGAACTGAGGTAGCTATTCTTTTAGTTAATTGGCTTCCTCCAAACAAATAGTAAAACTCGTTATCTCCCCCAAAAGACACCTTGAATCTTCCTGGAAGAAAAACAGTTATACCTGGAGATGGGTTCCTGTAGTAACTCTGTAGACATCTTTACATTGCGAAAGGTAATGTGGCTCATGACCTTGGAAACATGTCTACATTATAAAACTGGACACTGAGCCCTTCTAGTCTCTGGAGAAATTTATCTATATTCCAAAATTTAAAGAAAGGATTTGGGCTCACTATGTTCCCCATGAAGACACTCTAAAAAGTTAAGGAAAGGAAGATACTCTTTTTTACAAACCTTTATTTACTTTTACATTTCAGTGAGTTCTTCCAAAACAGAACTCCATGCAGGCACAGTAGATGGTGCCTAGTAGATCATAAGAAAGTCTTCCTTAAATAAGAAAGTCATAGAAGACTTTGGCATTGCTCTGGGTATTGATAGATGAATTAGAATTTTCCAGAAAGGGATAAAAATATTCCATGCAAAGGAAAAGTATGTTTAAAGGTCCAGGAAATATGTAAGTTCATGGTATGTTTGGTTAAAGTAGAAACATTTGACTTATACATACTATATTTGTGCTTAGGGGCTGAGAAGCATAGGGTGTAATGGAGTTGAGTACAGCGAAGTAGGTTAGAGACAGATTATGAAATGCCTTAAATACCATCTCAAAGAGTTTGTACATGTCTGTCTATATATGATGGCTAAAATAAGGCAATGTACTAATACTTGTTCAGGGGTCGGGGACAAATATTAGACAGTACCTCAGCCCCAAAGATCTTATAATCTGATGGATGCAGGAAGACGAAATAACAAATAACAAATAAAATACCACAAGTGGACAGATATATTTGAGAGGGAGGAAATAGGATTGGACATAAACTTTATATAAAGTTACTGAGAAAAGTTCCTTGGATGATTTCCTCTTGACCTATAATGTAAAAGTTCTCCGTAATTGGAGTCGTTCCTAGAATTCCATACACTTGAAATCTGTGTATGGTATAGTTCTTCCCCACTTTGTTCCCTGTTTCCATTCTGGCTCCCCTGAAGAAAATCACTCGGACGTTTTAATGCAAATTGATGTAGTGTCTCATCTCACCACTTGGCACCACTTGACAATCCTTTCACTTTTTCTTGGTCAAGCCCTCTCCAATTATTCTCATCTATTATTTCGAACCTTATTCACTCTCCATTCTGACTGATGATTTCATCACCCACCCTTCAAACCTACCACCCAACTGATTACTTCATCACCTACCTTTCTTAAAAATTTAAAAACTCATTCTTCTCACCTATATTCTGCATCTGCTCCCATACTATACTTTGATCCCTTCGGTCTCACATAGACTGTGCAAAACTAGATCTTCCACCTGACTTTCTGATCCTTATCTCAGCAAGAGATCTTACTCTATCACTTTTTCTTTCAGTGTCAATACCTTACACCTCTCTCTCTCTCTCTGTTGACTCATTCCCCTCAGCCTATAAACATACCCAAAACTCTTCCATCCTTAAAAGAAATACTCTTCTTTTATCCTAGAGCCTCCTCTAGTTTTCTTGAAGTCTCTTCTCTTACCTTATTGCCTACCTTTATCACCTAGAGGTCTCAAAAGTGATTCCATTTACTGCCTCTATTCCTTTACTTCCCATTCACCTTTCAACCATTGTAATAGGAATTTCACCTACAACTCTCTAATGAAACTTCTTTTGTTAAGAACACCAATTACTGACAAATTTCTCTATGCAACAGGCACTTTTAAGCCCCTTTCTATTGGACCTCACTGCCACATATGATAGTGTTGATTATTTCAGTATGCTTGAAATCTTCTACTCATTTGACTTCCAGACACATTCTCCTTTTTCTTTTTCTTTATTTTTTTTCATTTATGTAACATTCAAGAAGGTTCCTCTTCTTCTACCTACCTCTTAAATGTTTCTATTATCCCATGATTCTGCTCATGGACTATTGCTTTTGTTCTACTTTCCACACTATTATCTATACATGGATAACTTTCAAATCTATATTGCTAGTTTAGACCTCCCTCATGATATCTCAATCAGTAGATCCAATTGTCCACCAGACATCCTCACCTGGATGCCCTCCAAGCAATTCAAATTCATTTTTTTTTTGCCACAACTGAACTCATCATCTTCCCATGCTAATGTGTTCTTCTTTTTTGTTAAGGAAGATCCAAAAAAAAAACAATCTCACCAAAGAGAGACCCTATTATCACACAATAAATTCACCTTCTCACAGAAACATTAAATGACTAGAATATGACCATTTTATATAAGTTATGTCAAGACTGCTGTACCTTTTTCTGAAAAAATAGGCTGCATATATGTACCAAGGAAGAATAATTTGTATCACTTGAATAGAATAGAAGCTCCATGAGGACAGCGATCTTTGTCTTTTTTTTTTTTTTTTTTTTACTGCTGTATTTCTAGTGCTTGGAATAGTACTTGGCACATAGTAAGTCCTCAATAAATGAATTAGCCTGTATATCTCCTACTTAAAGAGCTTTCATTTGGGAATTTCACTAGATTGTAGCAGAATATATACATATGTATACATATATTCATGTTAATATTCATAGATTAAGGAGGAATGTATTCTTTTTGTATCTGAAATGAGGCAAAAGGAAATCGTAACTGCATTTCACCTAGCTTTCTGCCTTGGGAAATAGAGAAGGAACTGGTGGGATAAAAACACTTCATCTATCACTTGAAATAGTCCTTCCTTAGAAATTTGGAATGTAGACTAAGAGATTTTGGCCTACTTTGGCTGCTTTCTTATGCTGAGTGGTGTACACTTAATAACTATTGGCAACAGCCATTTTTATGCCATATGGTCTTGGAAATAGAAAAAGTTGGTCTGCTATGAAAGATGAAGCAGACACACAGATAGATGCAGAGATGATAAAGGGAGACTCCAGATAGCAGTTAAGTCCCTGGTTCCAGCTTATTCCTTTAAAATCACCTGCCTTAATGATCTTGGGTTTTATAAGAAAGTCTATCTTCATGCTAAATTTCTTTTGTTCCCCAATCTAGTTTGAATTGAATTTCTCTTCTTTGCAAAAACAAACAAATAAAAACCACACTGTTCTCCCATATCATATTGTTTAACAATCCTGTGCCTTTGCTTATTCTTTTCTCCTTAACTGGAGAACTATAGTTTCCTTGACAACCATTTTGCCTGAATAATTCCTATTTTAGCAGAGAAGGTAGAACTCAGGACCCCTCCTTGTACCTGTTTTTGTTTTTGTTTGTTTTTTGTTTGTTTTTTATCATGCTCTATCCTCATTTCATTCCAAGAAAAAGGAATACTGACAATATAGGTAAGATGGCATGATTGTGACTGGGTCAGATTTAATAGCAGGTAGGATCATTGTCTGGAAAAATGTCCCATATCCATGCATGGCCCTTCCTTATGTCTCTTCTGTCTCTGTTGTTGTGGATATTGTAAGAGAGCCGGTGCCTACATTATAGCAATTTCAGCTATGCTATACTTTCTCTTTCTCTCTTTCTCTTTCTCTCTCTCCCCGCCACACGCCCCCCACCACCCGCCTCACTTCCTCCCCCACTCTTGCCTTCTCTCCTTCCCTCTCCCTGTCTCCCTGGTATTAATTCAGATTCCTGTGCCTTGTGGCTGGCCAGAAAACAGTAACAATAACATTTGGATCTGAGCTTGGGAATAGAAGTACCATCAGGGAACCTCACTTATGTTTTAAGTTGGCCACATTTAAACCACGTTTTCTCATCACTCTACACCAGGAAATATTTTGTGGAGACTCTTATATTTAGTAATCACAGTTGTAGCTAGTATTAGGAGGAAAAGAGATTCTGTCCTGAAGCAGGAGATCCCTTGGTGAATGTAGACTGAAGGGATGGCTATATTTCTACTGAAACTAGATTAAAAGGCAGAGTTCCACAAGGAGAAAGGAAAATTCTCCATATGGGCAGCCAGGAAAGGACCCTTTCGATAGAAAGAAATTTGGTGTATTTATTGGAAAGACATATCTTTCTCTCCCATACCCACAACCCTCTCTGTCTCTCACTTGAAGCTGAAAAATTGTATATTTCTCCAAGACAAGTCACATCCTGCTATGGCAGGAATATTTAGATGATAGAAGAACATTTGTTTTTCTATTTAGTGACCAAAGCCCGGATAATTCAAAAGCTGATGGAAGACAATACTGCCATGAATCTGTTTGGTAAGTGCCAATTATAGTGGCATAGAACTTAAAAAAAAAAAATTGAAATTTGACAAGACTTTGAAAAAATAAATATGGAAGCTCATTTGATCTCTTGACAATTTTACTCAGTTAAATTTTATTTAATAGGTTATAGACACTCACAATTAGTTCAAATTGACAAGCATACAGCTGCAGTTAAAAGAAGCTTTTGTTCATTATTTTTTCCCCTGTTTACCCTCTATCCTTATTCCCCAAGCAGTAAGGGTGGTAACAATAACATGGGAACATTATTTTTGCTTGGAATCATCATAAGCACTTGGTCCTACATTTTATGAGTGTGGTACTGAAACTTGAGAAAAGTGAAACCTAAAGGAGACTTGAAGTTGTATGAATTAAACTTACAAAGTATTAGAAAAATTACAATCCCAGTGCAATGGAACCAAGTATGTGGCTGTTAAAAGAAACCAGAGTACACCCATGCATCTGGGTGATACTTCTTCTGACCAAGATAAAGAAAAATAAAAAATTGGGAAGAGATCATTTTTGGCTTTAATTTCTTTAGGAATTTAATTTCTACAAAAGAAGCAGGTTTCTGTATGGGACTCTATCTTTTTTTTTTTTCCTGATTCTTTTAAAATTTTATATCATTATTAGTTTCGAGTATACAGTACATTGGTTAGACACTTATATGGTTTATAAAATGATCTCTCTAATTGCTCTTTCTCTCCTCTGGCTCTCTGCCTAGCCATTGCATTAATGCTAACTGCATTCTCTATGCCCGTGCTCCCCATCCCCTTGACCATCTATCAACTACTAATTTGTACCCCCAACTCCCCTCCACTCTGGCCATCACCAGATTGTCCTCTATTTGTGAGTCTGTTTTTGATTAGTTTGTTCTTTTTGTTTCTTAGATTCCACATATAAGTGAAATCATATGGTAATCTTTGAATTTTTGTATTGTTCAAATGTAAGACATATTGCTGAGCTAATGTTGCATTATCTGGACTATGCTACCATGTTGTACTCACTGGACAATTGTAGATAAGCATAATTTGAGATAGGAAATAAAATAGTCCGTAATTTTTTTTTTTTTTATTTGCTGTGCTGTTGTGTTTCTGGGAGGATAAATAATGACAAAAGTTAGGGAGATGGTATCACAAAGGGAGGAACAGAGCTTCAGTGATATTCCCATAGCTCTTCTCCCTCAAGTGGGTTGATTACCTTTCTAACTGATCATCTTGGTTATTAAGCCCAGAGAGTTAAGAGAAAGAAGAGTTCTCGATTCCTCTACTCACATCAAAAAAATCTCTAACAGATGGTTTCTACATCTTTTCCTACTCTTTTTTTCCCACTTCCTAAACAGGATAGAACAGCAAACTGATAGATCAGATGGAAAAACACTGCCTGGATCACATTTACTTGTGAGCTGAGGAATGGGTTTACTAGACTAAAGACCAGGCAGGTGGGCATGGCCTTATTCTCAGCTGTTCTTCCTTCCATTCTCCTGGGATTATCAAAGTTCTTTCTCTTCACCTAGGATTCCTGTGCCATGCAGGTGATAAAATGGTGGCAATATTTTTATTTATGCTGAGTTGAGAAGGCAGCAGCCTCTCTTAGGCCTCAAGCCTATGCCATGTACTTTAAATCAGGTTTTCCAGAATTCTTTCTTGGACATATTGGGTCCAGGTCCCACTAATAAGAACATGCTCTGTTTATCATTTTTTATTGTTCTCTCAGGGGAAAACTGAAAAGAGTAAGGCAGAAATTGGGCATTCTTGGGTATTCTAGTCAATACCAACAAAATCTCTTCACATCTCCAATACTATTTATCTTCTAACTTTGTTGTATCAAGTACCTATGGGATTATCTGCCCAGAAACTCTCTCTAGGAATTTTGCTCCCCTTATCTTGTTCCTCCACCCCACCTATAAAGTTGAATAAGAGCTGCCATGTTATTACAACATGGTCATAACCCTTAAGTATAGTTGATTGAATCAGGGGTGAGCACATTATTTCAAGTGGGCCTTTTCCCTGGTGTAGGAAAACAGCACCAGTTATACCTTCCCCTTTTATTAGAAAAGCAAAAGCTTTCATAGGAGCCCCCTGAAGTTGATTCCATCTTATTATTATTGATTGAAGCGGGGTGCATGGCCACCCTGACTTTAAGGAAGCTGGAAAGGAGAGTATCTTGCCTAGGGGCAGTAACATTACTTCCTAGAACAATTTTAAGGTTCTATTGGCAAGGAAAAAAAGGGTACATGGATATTAAGAAAGCAATTAACAAGGTCTATCACACTAATTCATTTATCTATAATACAACACAAAAACGAATTTACTAAATAGTAACCTAATTTCCTTGCAAAGAAAGTGATGCATTTAAAAGAGGCCTCTTTTGTTGTTGAGTTCTATGAGTTTGTTATATATTTCAGATATTAACCACTTATTATAGGTGTTATTTACAAATATCTTCTCCCATTTGGTTGTTACCTTTTTGTTTTGTTGGTGGTTTCTTTTGCTGTGCAGAAGCTTTCTAGTTTGATATAACCCCGTTCATTTATTTTTGCTTTTACTTCCCTTTGAGATCAAATTCATAAAATCCTCTCTAAAACCAAGGTCCATAAGTTTAGTACCTATGTTTTATTCTGTGTATTTTATTGTTTGTGGTCTTATATTTAGGTCCTAGATCTATTTTGAGTTAATTTTGTGTATGGTGAAAAATCGCAGTCTAGTTTCATTCTTTGCATGTGGCTTTTCAATTCTCCCAGCACCATTTATTGATGAGGCTTGCTTTTTCCCATTGTATGTTTCTGGCTCCTTTGTCAAAAATTATTTGCACATATATTTGTGGATTTAAAAATTGGGCAGAAGGACATGAACAGACACGTCTCCCAGGAAGACATACAAATGAGCAAAAGATATATGAAAAGATGCTCAACTTCACTAGCTACTAGGGGAATGCAAATCAAAACCACAATGAGACACTACCTCACACTGGGGTTAGAATGGCCATTATCAAAGAGACAAATAATAACAACTATTGGAGAGGTTGTGGAGAAAAAGGAACCCTCATACACTACTGGTCGGAATGTAAATTGGTACAGTCGCAATGGAAAACAGTATGGAGATTCCTCAAATAATTAAGAATAGAATTAGCCTATGACCCAGTAATCCCTCTTCTGGGTATTTACTTGAAAATTTTGAAAACATTTAATTGTAAAGATATATATATATATCTGTGTGTGTATATATATATATACACACACACCTCTATGTTCATTGCAGCATTATTCCCATTGGCTAAGACATGGAAACAACTGAAGTGTCCTTCGATAGCTGATTAGATAAAGAAGATGTAGTACATATATACAATGGAATACTATTCAGCCATAAAAAGGTGAAATAGAGCACTTTTGTATTAAAAATTAAAAAAACAAATTAAAAAGGAGCTCTTTGTTTGGCCACATATCTTTTATGGGTTAGGTAGATAAGCTAGTAGGGAGGAGCCAGAGAGGACAAAAATGAACTGCAAAATAGAGGATTAACTGTTTGAAACTATGAGAGAAATCTGGGAGGGAGTAGCCTAAGAGAAAAGATGAGAGAAGGAGAAAAATGATGGAAAAACCACATGGTTTGTGTTCTGAGCGTTCACTTTTAACTCCAGATCTTCAATAAAGTATAGAACTCATGAAAGGGTTATTGTGAATAGATTTCTTGTGAAACTAGTAGGAAATTGAGCTCTTTGTGTAAATTTTTTGGAGTAGAACATAGACAGCATGTGTAGATACAGGAGGCATAGACCAGACCAAGAAAAACGAGAAGGTATTAAGCCTCACTGGTGAGCAAAGAAGAGTGGGAAGAGTCAGGAATTCACATATCATAAAATGACAGAGTCAAAAACCAATTATAAGAACTATGAGAAGTAAAGCAACCCCAGCCAATATTTGAATTATGTGTATTTCTTGTCCCCACTAAGTGGTGAGCTCCTTGAAAACTGGAATAATCTTATTTATCATGCACACCAGCACTTAGCCAGATGCCTGGAACTTAGTAGATAGTCTATAAATATTTATTGAATTCAATTGAACTGACCTGCCCTATATTATAATTCTCCATATCCCTTTCTTAACTCTCTTAGTAAATTGGAATATCCATTAATAGTGTGTCTGATTCAACTTTTTATTGAATAAGGCATCTTGAACATAGTAGGTGCTTAAAGGGCCAATTTTTAGAGCCCTACCTTCATGAAGAGGGATAAAGGTCTGGTAATCCGAGTTTGCAGGTTCTGATTTCTTAACAGCTTGTTTCCCTTAGGCCAATATGAAATTGTGTTTTCATTCCCAAGCAAATATTAAATGATGGCAGGAGAAGGTAGCACAGGCACATGTTGTGTGGCAGAGGGAAACCAGCTTGGGATTTCAATTTGCCACCAATGATCCCCAAAGTAAACAGTCAAGTAGATAATCAAGATTTGGCAGTATATAGCCATTACTCACAATTAGAAATTGTGGTTCATGTATTATAAGTGGGTGTAGAAAAACCACTAGGATGATAGGCACTATAATGTTGAGTGTGAAATCATTATAAAGTAAAGTTATGTGTGGTTTTCTTCTTCTTTATCCTCTTTATGCAATTAGTCAACTGCAGAATATGTTCATAAACGCTCTTTATATGTAGTTCATTTTTGTCAACAAGAATAAAATTAACCTTTATTGAATGCCTATTATGTGTCGAGCACTACACTAGGCACTTTATAAATGCTATGTAATCCTTGATAATGTCTTATTCAGCCAATTTTATGGATGATGTACCAGAGTTCTAGAGAAGCAAATATATATCCTCCAGACTACAGCAAGAAAGTCCAAGTATAAAAAATTTAAACCCAGTTTTGTCTGGAGGGCTTGAAGAAACAAGGATTTCTGGGCCCCACCCCCAGAGATTCTGGTTAAGTAGGTTTAGAGTTGGTCTGAGAGTTTGCATTCTAACAAGTTCTCGGGTTATCCTGACCCTGCTCTTCTGGCA